GCAGATTGGCGAGTGCAGTCTATCTTCATATATGAGTGTGGTTTGAGTTCTTTTTTGTGACGTCGCATTCGTCCTAGAGACTAGCAATCTTCTCCAACTTGTAGTCTGTCGAGATACCAAAGGCCGCCCGCGCTTCCTTGAGGACGCGAACGCCGATCATTCGGAGCTCTTAGCCACACCCGGCTGCATATATGACGCTGCGACATCCCATATAAACAAGAAAGAGTGTCCAAGTACTCGAAATCTTAGTCAGATCCAACTAAGATTTCGTCGCGTTGCAGCCGAGTGTGGCCTAAAGCTCCGAGTGATCGTAGCCTGCGTCCTCAATGAAGCGCGGGCGGCCGTTTAGCGGGCGGAAGCTCTCGAGGCCTTCGACGATGTGGGACAAGAACATCTCGAGGATACCATTGTCCATGATGTTGGTCATCTCTACACACGGAGATGACGTCATACGAAACTCGTGGTGTGACGCGCACCCGTGACGCGGAGGCGGCCGCGCGACGACAGCTTAAAGACGATGCAGTGGCCGTCACGCTCGGGGCGATCCAAGGTAGCACCGACCCAGTCGGCGAGCACAACCACGAGGGGCGACGTCGGCGCCAGCCAAAAAAAGGCGAGTTTGTCGCGGCGAAAATGCTTGGCGACGGGCTTCAGGTCGAACGTACTTGGGTCGCGAGGGATGTAGAGCACGCAGAGCTTTCCGTCGCCAGCGTCGAGGCAGTCGGTCTCGAACGTCGCCGCCGTCGTCTCGGTGATGACAACGGGCGGCTTCCTTCTCGGTGCGTTCTCCTCGGGCGGCGGGAACGACGGAAGCGGCGACCAATCGCCCAGGTCCGACGTCAGCGCCTACCCAGTTACGAGCAACTAGGTATACATATTTATATGCTTGCGACCCGACCTTGTTGATAAATGAGGTCACTTGACGCGCCGGCTTGGCGTCCGTGAGGGCTACATGCGTGTACCCATGGTCGGGATGAACATACACGAGGGCGGGCAAGTCGGCGTCTACGCAGCCGGTTGCATGAGCAAGCGAACGAACGCAGGCAGAGGCACCGTGCAGGCCGAGGTGCTCGGCGATCTTGGCGTCGCTACCCGCGACAAACCCGAATTGCACCTACAATGCGACGGTTGGGATCGTGTTGGGCATGCGAATGACGTACCAGAATCGACTTTTTGTCGGGCGCAATGAACGACTGCGCGACGTCGCTGAGCCAGCGCGGCTAGGCGGCGTGAGGCCAAGCACTTCCGCCAGAATATGGGACGACTACCTTGGCCTTCGCGCCCTTCTTGTGCTTGTTGCGGCCAAAGAGGATCGCACTGGGTGTCTTGGGCGGTGCGGTCGCAAAGAACGTATAGACGTCTTTGTATTGCAGGATCTGGACCGCCGCGTCGCTGGACGAGACGCCCAATGCCGCGAGCGGCGACGCCTTGACGTGCTGCACGATCTCACGCGCGCTGCGCCCGCCACGGTAGTCCGTCGGCTTGTTCTTGTTCTTGCCAAACTCTACAAATTACGAGTCCTTATATTGCGCGAGGCAGCGATGCAAAGGACCTTTGATGGTCGGGTAGCCTTGGATGCCAAACTGCTGCGCGAGCTGCTCGTTCGACGTGCAGTCGACAGCGCCGAGCTTGGCCTACAGGGCGTGCATTCCATTAGCCGCCGGCGCATCACGCCGCGTCGCCACCGTTGTCTTGAGAGCCTTGGCCGCCTTCTTCCACTCTGGCTCGAGCTGCTTGCAGTGGCCACACCTGCATGTCCGTCATTCATCGTGCACATGATGCTGTAGCATACCATGGCGCGTAAAACTCGACGAGCCAATAGTCCGGGCTGTCGAGAACCTCCTTCTTGAAGGTCTTCTCCGTGAGCACGTGGACATGGGCGATGGCCATCGCATGCAGCGCGACCAAGATCGCGGCCACGAAGCGCATGCTGTGCATTCGACCGCAAATCTTTGGTTGCCTCTTGAATTGGATATCTGCTGCAAGAACCTCTAGACTTGATATTCCCTGTCATACTAAATACGAGGCTGAAATGCATACCATGATCTTGTGTTATATCTGAAGTTAGATGTCCTTAAACCTCTCAGAATACATACCTGTCGCGTGTTGATAGACGTACACCATGGAGCGATCTGAGGCCGCCGAGATCCGGGCTTGGCATATTCGCTTTCTTTGTGGTCGCAGGCTCATGGAATCGCTCTTCGGCATCGTTGGCAAGGACTTCGTCATCCTCGCGGCTGACTGCAAGGTCGCCCGCTCGATCCTCGTGTACAAGGACGACGAGGACAAGGTGCGTGCGCATGGAGCTACAGGCGAAGAGGGCTCATGATGATGATGGGCGTAGATGCAAACGCTCGATGCACACAAGATCATTGCGGGCGCCGGCCCCCAAGCCGACCGCGTCGAGTTCTGCGAGTATGTGCAGAAGAACATGAAGTTATACCAGCTCACACACGGCGTGACGCTGAACGGCCATGCGACGGCCAACTATGTGCGCGGCGAGCTCGCACGCCGCCTCCGCAAGGCGCCGTGCCAGTTGAACGCGCTCCTTGGCGCTTGCGATGTCGAGACGCTCGACGGCGAGAAGAAGATCCTCCCGAGCCTCTACTGGCTCGACTACCTCGGCACGCTCGCCAAGGTCAACTATGGCGCGCAGGGCTACGGCGCGCACTTTTGCCTCTCCATCATGGACCGCGAATGGCACGAGAACCTGACGCTGCCCGAAGCGCTCACGATCTTGCAGCACTGCGATAACGAACTCAACGAGCGCTTCTTGGTGCGCTCGGGTGAGTGGCTCTACAAGGTCATCGACGCGAACGGGATCCGCGACGTGACCTTGTAAGTCATGGCTCCTACTTTGCTCCATGCTGCTTCGTCCACACCCAAGACGACGTGGTAAGCAAAATTAAACATTGGATATGGCTTCTACTTGCGGCGGTTGTACCGCGTCTTGGACTTGAACGAATTGACGCTCTTCTTGCCCTGCTTGCGCAGGTTCGTAATCTTCTCCTTGAAGACAAACTCGTCTTTCTTGCCGCCGCGCGCCGCGCTCTCGGGACGGGCCTTGGGCGCCGCCGGCTTCTTGGCACGCGACATGTCTTCGTCAAAGCCGCCACGGGCCGCGCGCTGCTGCTGCATCTTCTCGCGCTTCTGGCGCTTGAGCTCGTGGATCTCCGAGATCGAGCGGTTGGCTACAGATTCGCATCATCGCATGAGCCATCCTGCAAGCGTCCTGGAGCGACATACCAATCTCGCGCTTCTCTTCAATGGCCTTGCGCTTCGCGCTCTTGGCGGCGCCAGCCACGTGCTGCGACGTAAACACCTTCTTGTCTACCGTGGTCATAATAGCATCATGAGAGGTTCGGGACGTCGAGGGCGACGACGTACTCTGCTCGGCGGCATCGTCGAGCAAGGCCTGTTCACGCTCGCGGATCTCGGTCATGCGGCGCTTCTTGTGGTTGAGCGGGTGCTTCTTCTTGTCTTCGGCAGCTTCCATCTCGGCGAGCTTGGCCTGGCGCGCCTCTTCCGCGCGGTCCGAGACGACCTTCTTTTCCTTTTCATTTTGAAACCACGTGCGGGCGGGGCGGCCGTGGATCTCGCTCTGGTGGCGAATGAGGTTGGTCGTGCGCGACGCTTCGCGCTCCGCCTCGCGCATGCGCTTCTCGAGCGTCTCTTCCTTCATGACCGACGAGACGTCCTCTTCCATCGCCTGGACGCGCGCGCGCCACTGGTTGATGACCGGGTCCGGCACGCTACGGCTCTTGACAAAGCCGTGGCAATGACGTGCGACCTCCTTCATGATGAGACGGCGCGACTCGGACGTGAGCGTGACCGCGCGGCCCTTGCGACCAGCACGGGCCGTACGACCGACGCGGTGCACGTACGTCGTGACGTCCTTGGGCATCTGGTAGTTGATGACGGCGTGGACGCCCTCGACATCGATACCACGCGCGGCAATGTCGGTACAGAGGAGGATGTCGGCGCTGCCGTCGCGGAAGTTCTGCAGCGCTTGGAGACGCTCGCGCTGGTCGAGGTCGCCGTGGAGCTCGGCGGCCTTGATGCCCGCGAGGCCAAAGAGGATCATCATGCGGTGGGCGTGCTTCTTCGTTTCCATAAAGACAATCGTCTACACCATGCGACGAGATGAGATGCTGATTGGGCGAGCGCAAATTTCGAAGCGTTCGAAAAAAAAATCGAACGGCTTCGAAATTTTCAAAGCAGTGACATATAGACGTACGTTGGTCTTGAAGGTACGCGTGCAGAGCGCGAGCAAGATGGCTTCGCGGTCCTCCTCGCGCGTCGGGCGGATACGGACAAACTCTTGGACGAGGTTCTGCGCCATGTCGTAGAGCGGGTCCGTGCTGATGCGCACCGGCCGCTTCATCGAGAGCTTGATGAGCTCGTCGACCTTGGACGTGAGCGTCGCCGAGAAGAGCATTGTCTGGCGCGCAATCGGGCACATACCGACGAGCTCTTGAACTTCTTCCGTGAACCCGAGCTCGAGAAGACGATCGGCTTCGTCGAGCACGAGGATCTCGAGGTCGTCCATGTGTACACAGCGCGAGTTGCGCAAATGATCAATCATACGACCCGGCGTACAAATGACAACGTCCGGGAGCTTGCGGAGCTCGGCTTCCTGCTCGCGGAGCGGGAGACCACCGACAGCGAGTGCCGACGTCACGTCCGTAAACTTGCCGAGCTGCTCGAGCACCGACTGACACTGCGTCGCAAGCTCACGCACGGGACAAATGATGAGGACGCGCGTGGCCGCGGCTTTCCGCGACCGGAACTGGAGGCGCTCGAGGATCGGGAGCAGGAACGCGGCCGTCTTACCGGACCCCGTCTGCGCACTGGCGCAAATGTCCTTGCCGGAGAGCGCCACCGGAATCGCGCGCTGCTGGATCGGGGTCGGCTTTTCGAAACCAAGCGACGTCACGGCGCGGACCAGCGCGCGGCTGAGCTTGAGGTCGCTGAACGTCTTGAGGTCGTCCGGCGATGCCTTCTTGAAGACGTCGTTGTTGTCATCGAAGAACGCCGCCGCCTTCTTCTTTTCGATCTCGTCGACATGGTCCGACGAGCCTTGGTTCGCCTTGCGCTCGGCGAGCGCTTCCTGGAGCCGGGCTTCTTCGACGACGTCATCGTTCTCCGAGTCATCGTCATCGTCCTCTTCCGAGTCGTTGGCGTCCTTTTCCAGCACCTCCTTGGGCGCCTTCTTCGCCGGCTCGTCGTTCTCCGAGTCGTCGTCGTCGGCGTCTTCGCCCGCGGCCGTCGCCGCCTTGCGCTTCTCGCGGCGCTCGGCCTGGCGTTCCTTGCGGCGCGCCTCAATCTTCTTTTGGATCGTCGACCGGACGCTCTCGCCATAGACACGGCGCTCCATGTCATCGATCTGCGCAATGGCCTCTGCAAGACACCATCAGTTGTCACGTCATGACATGGGATTACGTACTCGTAAAGTCCCACGAGCAGCCGGCGGGGCCCTAATGCAGCGTCGCATGTGAGATGGCGAAGGGACGATCGACGAGTACCTTAAAGCTCGACTCGTCGTCAAACTGGAAGCTCTCGCTAATCTCGCTCACAGCCGCCTTCTTCTTTTGCTGCGCCTGCTTGGACTGGAGCTTCTTCTTCTTACTCTAATGCATCGTGTGATGCCATTGCATATGATGGCGGGTTGTACCTTGGAGATGACGGCCAGCTCTTGCTCCTTGGCTTCTTCTTCGTCGCTGCTCGAATCGAGCACTTCAATCTAACGGCAAGGTTGAGCATGCGACCATGGGACGGATCATGCATCTACCTCGTCGTCCGACATGATGGTCATCATCAAGGCGTCATCTTGAGGGGCGGCCATGGGTACAAAGAGAACGCTTGGGCGGATGCTGCAAGGGTTTCTTAGTGTGGTCGCGTTTTCACGAAAATGATTGGATTGGACTGCGCCCCCTGTGATTGGTCGTTTGCGTCAAGGGTACATTCCAATGTACGTACGTGCCGTACACACTAATACTCAAGACGCTTTCCACTGTACGGTACCACGTACAATATCGTACATCGTACAGGAAATCCGTACAAGTTGATTGGGTGTTGGCCAGCAATTCTATAAACAGGTTTGTCGTGCCAATGTATTTTAATAGCTTGTTATTTGTATGCAAGATGGGCATGTTTCAACGCTTTGGATATTAATATACGACTTTGCACGGTTTAAAAATTGGCTCGGAGCGATCCATTGTTGCCATCCCCGCCAAGCAAGATGAGTCGTCCCGAGCATGTGATGCCCCCGGAGGTAGAGCGTCCTACGTCGCTGCAGCCTCATCGATGGCGTCTCTAGCTCTTCTACAATGAGAAGGAGGCTGCCAAGTACAACTCGAGCTCGCGTATCATCAAAATTCAGGTGCGCCAGCCATTCGTCGCGACGTCGTGGACGACTTTGCCGTTGTAGAATGACATTGCCAACCGTGCGATTGAGCTCTTAAACCTCCCGGAAGACAAGGAGGCGTTCATCCTTGATGTGGGCTGCGGCAGTGGGCTCAGTGGCCGTACGTTGTACTGTCTATTGCGGTGCATTGACTCATCTTGGCTGTAGTGGCGCTCCAGGAGCACGGCCATGCGTGGGTCGGCTGCGACATCAGGTACTTTATCGTAAGCATCGAGTACGATGTGAACCAATGCATTCTAGTAAGGACATGCTTGACATTGCGGCCGAGCGCGACAGCAGTGGCGACGTCTTTCTCCAAGACATGGGCTGCGGCCTGCCGTTCCGCCCCGGTGTCTTTGACGGCTGCATCAGTATCTCGGCCGTGCAATGGCTCTGCTACTCGGACAAGAAGGAACACACGGCGCGGAAGCGCCTCACGCGCTTCTTCTCGTCGCTCTACACGAGTCTCAAGCGCGGCGGCCGCGCCGTCATCCAGCTCTACCCTGAGACGCCCGAGCAAATGGAGGAAATCTCGGGCTGCGCGATGAAGTCGGGCTTCTCGGGCGGTCTCGTGATCGACTTTCCCAACAGGTCTGTCTGTCATGCGCTATGAAGCGTCGTCCTCACAAGTCGGGCTTAGTGCCAAGGCCAAGAAGTACTTTTTGTGTCTCTTTGCGGGCCACGACCCGACGAGCAAGCCGACCGCGATGCCCAAGGCGCTGACGGGCGACCCCAACACGGCGGCGTTCGAAGCGCGCCGTGAGAAGAACGTACGTTGGTGTTGCGCAGTGTCTTGGGATCTCACAGCAAACGCGTAGAAGAAGGCCCGGCGCGGCAACCGGGACATGCCCAAGAACCGGTGCGTGACCATCGCGTGTTGAATGATGGCTCATGCGATTGTAGGGACTGGGTCATGGCCAAGAAAGATCGGTACCGCAAGCAGGGCAAGGAGGTCAAGAACGACAGTAAATTCACGGCCCGTCGGCGTCCGTCTGGCTTTTAAGAAGAGCGCAGTCTGCTGCTGCTACTTGTATGAGATTTCTTTACTTCCGCTTGGTGTGTTTCGTGGGCCGTCGACGAATGGACTAGTTTAGCTACCGAATTGGGCTCATTTCTTATTGACGAGGACTCCCATGGCGGCTTTGCTTTACACATTTCACTGCAGGCCATCAGGACGATGTGCGCCGACATGCCGCCAGCTCGTGAACCAGGGTTCGGTATCGGAGTGTGAATGCAGCATGGATCTCGACTTTGCATTGACGACAGATACTGGTATGCTTTTCGAGAAGAATTTGCGGGCAGAAGAATCCAACATCCTCCAGTCGACAATTACATAGACGAATAGTCGATCTACGAGCTAGAGATCTAATGTTACTCTGTGATGTGTTGTCCAGAGTGACTGACTACGTCCTGCGCTGTAGCGATCGCACGTCTGAAGTTAGAATTTGATGGTTTTGTTTCTTGTGATTATCGTGATTTATTCGTGTATTTATTTCAAGTAATCAGTGATTAGGCACAATGGTTTTGCTCGGAATAAAGGTCTCGACACTCAGGGCTACTACCCCCCGTTCAGAAACTCTAGTCTGAAATGAAAAATTTGGATCATCATTGCAAAACCGCTTGCTACTATCTTCTACGACTAGGCTAGGCGAGGTACGAAAGATCAGTAATCCTTGTAATGTGCATCAAGATGGAAATCAGACCCGAAAGATGGTTATTTTGTAGGAATTCATCATATCGGACGCTCGCCTCTACTTTTGATCAACTACATTTACGTGTTTTTTCTGCTCAGACAGCCAAGGGTTATCTCGACAATCGGGGCTACTACCCCCCGTTCAGAAACTCTAGTCTGAAAACACTTTAAAATCATCACCGCAGAATTCGTTCCTAAGTCTACTCGTTCTTTGCCGCCATTGTAGCGCTACATGCAAAATCGGAAAGTGAGTTTAGAGACGTGGGATCCGCGCAACCGGCACGCAACCGACGACCATCCGTTCTGCTGGCCACTCATTGGGCCGCGTCCTTCCGTATCCGGCTACATCCGGATAATGTTGAAACGCCTTCGCGCGCTTTTGCACTCGGCTGGTGTGGCCGTCGACGCGTCAATAACTCCTGCAGCTTTCGATTATAGGAGAAGAAGTCTCTGTCTTGCGAAGATGTACTTTAGTAGCTACTGACTAGCGTGTATTGTGGCGCAATTCGACTTTGCCCGATGCAAGATGCGACTCTTTAGCGCATTACCGAGGTCGCCAGACGCCTCTTGTCTGCTTGACTGCTTTGCTTGAAAGAGGTGCCGTTTCACTAGTCATGCAGCAGCCAAGTAGCTGCAGCAGCGGCAATGACGCGCCCGCGCCGAAAAGGCAAAGAGCTTGTTGGAGCAGAGAGACGGAGAGACGTTGCTTCCTGAGCGCGTTGGCCGTTCTTCCTGCGTCGGCGTCGTCTCCTACCAAGTATGCTGCAGCCTCTCCGCACTAGTAACAACAACCCCCGACACTTGAGTGTTTCTATTCTACGTAGGACACAAAGAGCCTCGTACTCTACAGCGACGAGTCCGAGAGCGTGAGCAAGTCCGAGTGCAGTTCACGCAGCGCGTCAAAGCTCATGCCGGCTTGTACGTACTCGTGGACGACGCGGCGGTCAATCGTATGGACGCCATGCGCGAGGCCACTCAGGTACTTGGGGATCGCGTCTGTGATCATGACCGCCGAGAGACACGCCGTGGACGTCAAGGAAGCAAAGACCGGTGCCTCGGGCAGGGCAACTAATGGGCGCGGGAGCGTCACAAGGTGGCAAAAGTCGAACGGCGCCTTGAGCTGCCACGTCGGCATCGTCACGCCAGCAAACGCAGTGGGGTCGCCACGCAGCGTCAAGAGCTGCAAATGGTACTGACGCGACCGCGTCCACGACGGATCTTGCACGCCAATCGGCAGCAGCGACGCAGCATCCAGGAGCTCCAAGCGAGTGGCGCCACTTTGTTTGAAGAAATCGGCTGGCGGATCCAACAAGCAAGCGAGCTCCATGACCTTCATGCTGCGCCGCAGCGGAAAGGCGACGTTTCGCATCTGCATGTTGGACGTGCGCGGGAAGCGGTAGGGTGCCGACATGACGTCCCAGGCCGCGGCCGTCAGCAGCGGTCCGTCGGTCGAGATCGGCGACAAAGTCGCAAACGAGCCTACTGCGTCGCCCGACGTGGCCAGCGGGAAGAAGACGTCCGAGAGCTCGTGCAAATGGAGGATCGAGGACGCCATGTTGATGGCACGGCGGCCGTCGTGCTTGGCTTGGTCAAAGAGGCCCACTTGCGGCGTAAGCGGGTACCTAGATGCAGAGGCATGATGCTTGACGACGCGCAGATAAGACACGGTACCGCTCGTCGAGGCCGGCGCACATCACAAAGGCCGAGGGGCACTCTTCGCGGAGCTCGCGCAGGACTTCTGTCGCAAAGCCGCCCCAGGTCGAGTCGATATCCACAAAGCATTGGACGCCCTATGCAATGTGTTCCGTGAGAGACGAAGGCAGCATCGCGTGACGTGTACCTGGATCGAGTCGCACGCCTCAAGCGACTGGCGCACGTGGTCTTGGGCAGCTTCGAGCGTCTCGCGGCGCAGCTTGCCGTCGCCTGAGAGGAGCCCATCGTAGTAGTTGTTCATCGGATCAAACGACCGAAACTCGGCGACCTCGACGACCGAGCGCGGGTGCAAGACCGACGTTGGCATAGCAGCCTCGCCAACACCATTGTCGTCTTGGGCGACGGTCTTGACACCGCCATCCCACGCGCTCACCTCGTGGTCCTGCCGGGCGCCGGCCACCTTGATTTCGCCCTTGCCACCAAAGGCCACGGTGCGCGGAACGCTGCGGCCGTTGCGGAGCATGAGCGACATGTCGGCCTCCTGCTCATCACCAGGCTGGCGCCCGGCGGACTCGCGCAACGCGCTGGACCAGAGAGCCTCGCCGACGCGGTTGCTGGCGCTGCCAAACTGCAGGGTCACGATCTCCCGCATGTGCTCTGGATTCGACTGTGCCGAAATTAAGATCGCCGCCCGTTGATGCGCGCAATGATTGGCCGACGACGCCTTCGCTGCGGCACATGCCGATTTCGGTGTGCCGAATTGGACCAATCGCGGCGATGGTGTATTGCCCGATCTGCAAGCGCAACGATGGCAAGAAGCATGGCTTCACGGCCGGCCACGTGCGCAAGGCCGAGGCCTTTGTCGCGAGACAGATGCAGAAGACCACGGAGCTCCTAGAGCGGGCGAAGACGCCGCCGTTCTGGTGTGTCTTCTGCGATGCCGACCAAGACGACATTGCACACCTCGCGACCAAGGCCCACACCATGGCTGTGCGTATGTTCTGCAAGACGCACCGCTGCACCTTCGACCCAAAGCTCATGGGCAGTCCTCTACCATTACGAGAAGAGCCTACGCCCAGCGAGCCCGTCGTAGCGACCGTACCTACCGAGCCGGCCGCTGGTCGCCGCGCCGACGTCCAAGCTGCGTTCTTGGACTCGGTGGCCACGCGGCTGCACGAACGCTCTGGCGGCGTTGCTATCCCGACGCCTCGACTGCCGTCGTCGTTTCCCAACGTCACGTCTCCGCTTGGCGTGATCCAGAATCCCACCGGCGTTGACGCAGAGACTGGCGACCGCGTCTGGGGCGGCGGCATCGTCAAGGTGTCCAAGAACGCTATGACGTCATGGCCCATCGATGCGCTCGTGCAGCAACTGCTTCGCCTGCGCTTTCAACCAACAATCCCGTCCGATGACCAGCCGCGCGTCACCGACATGGCGCATGGCCACGGCCTGAGCTCGATCCGACGCGCATGGGCGTCCAAGCCGGTTCACAACGTCCACTCGGGCGCCGTGCCGCCGTGGCTCGTAGCGTCCACGGAAGAGTACTACCGCCGCAACGCTCGGACACCATCCACACCAACCGTCGCAACAACCTCCAGCTGGCTGCCCAAGTTTGGCGGCGTCTGGGAGGCGGGTCCGCGGAGCCAAACCAAGCGCACCTTCACGGCCCCGCTGTCGTCTCGAACAGTAAAGAGCGTCCAGCCCACGACCACACCACCGGACGCTGCACCGTCCAACCATGACCAATGCGCGTCATCGGTCGATGCCAAGGCGGTCGCCCTCGCCACGCAAAAACAAGATTTACGCGCGAAATTGCGGGCCAAACAACTAGCAAAAGCCCCAAATATTATCACGGGCGACTAACGACACTGTTTTCCACCTTGATTTCTTTTAATCCACCTTGATTTCTTCGAACCGTATTCTCTCAGTGAACACTATGCTCCATCAAAGTCTCAAGTCACTTATCGCCGCTATAGCGTGTCCTCTCTTCAGCCAAGAAATTGTACTGTAGAGAATCAACGAATCCTCGTGATCTAATAGACGACGAGAAGCGGGTCCACACGAAAATGTATATAATCTTTGTTTTGGTTTTGGCGCGATAAATACCCACTAAATTACGCTAGGTTCGAATCAAAGAGGTCTGGTTGAGGTTGTCGGGATAATAAAAAAGAAAAGCCACGCGCTTCGTCTTGGCGGTGGCAGAGGTCGAGGTAAAGCGCCTTAGTTGTAGCTTGGCGAGGGCACCCACGTGGTCGCCGCCCACTGCGGGTGGTACGCACTGTAGTAAGGGTCCCGACCCATCGCGAGCTGGTCGTTCGTGTACGCCTCTGGTTCGTACGCGTACGAGGTTTGGTGCTGCTGGTTCAGGTGCTGCTGGTTGCTCAGCAGCGACGGCTGGTGCTGCGTAAAGTACGTCGACGGCGACCACTCGCTCTCTGGCTCGTACACCGGTTCTTGCGGCGACGGCGGCGTCTTGAGCAGCATCGCTTGCGGCGAGCTGTGCGCCATCGGGTAAAAGACTAGCGTGCCAAAGGCCGTGCTCGTCGAGAGGACCTGCACCGCGTAGCGATCTTCCTGCGGCACCTTGGCGAGCTTGGACTGAAACTGCGCATGGACCGAGAGCGGCACGGGCTGCGTCACGTACGGCAGGTAGTGCTGCATCCAGACGACGCACTCCCACACGTTCTCGGGCTTGACGAGCAGCAAGTGCGAGAGGGCGTACAGGTTGTGGGTGGGCGCGAGGAGGAAGAGCGCGGCGCCCCCAAGGACACTTGGTAAAAAGTTGATCGAGAACGAGTCGAGCGTCGCAACGTCGAGGAGGTTGCACGCGAGGTGGAACACCGTCATGCGCTCCTTTGCACGCTGGAGACGCGACTCGTCCTTGCGCAGCTTGTCGGCGTAGTCATAGGACCCGCCATACTCGTAACCAACGTAGCACGGCGAGTTGTACACAGCCGGCGACGGCGGACTCGACGGCTCCTTGTACAAACCAAGGCCGTCCATCGCGAGGAGAAGCCACGTGATGGGCGTCGCCGGGTACAGCTTCCACTTGAGCTGCTTCAAAAGCGCTTCTTCGTGCGCAATCACGTCTTCTTTCGTCGTGTAGATCGACGGCGCGGTGACCTTCTTGCTGCGACCGCCACGCTTGCCTTTGCCTTTGGCCTTGGCATGGTCGGGCACGGTCTCGCCCGACTCGCGCTGGACAGCTTCGAGAATGTCCGTGACCGACGGTGGGTTGACCTCTTCGATTTTGCTGGCGAGGACGAGGACGGTCGCGGCCATGAGGATGTTGGGGTGCTCGGCCGTTTTCGCAAAGTTGGGCGCAAAGATCTGGCCGCGCGCGAGCCAGGACGAGAGGAAGACGCGCGTCATGTACGAGCAGGCCAAGTGGCACGTCTCGCGCTTGAGGCCTAGCGCCGAGCCCGTCGAGAAGATGCGGTGCACGAGGCGGCCACGCGCCGTGTGGAAGATGGACCAGTCGAGCGTCGGCGTCGCAATCGCATTCTGCGCGTAGAGGTGCACCGCGTACTCGTCTTGCATCTCGCGGTACCGGTAGTTCTGGATCATCTCGACGTCGAGCTCGATCGTGTCGAGCGCCATGGCGTTGCCCATGGCACCGGTGCGGAAGTGGGCATCGCCCTTCGTATCGGCGTGAAGGCCGAGAAAGGTGCTGGCGTACATGCAGCGGTCAAGCAGAGCTCGAGACGACGGGTGGTATGCAGCGAGCGCTGGCGACGACGGGCGACGGTCACCGGGGCGGGCGGGCGCTGGAGCTGGCGTATGTAACACAACTGCGGGTTTCGCAATTCTAAAAAACTGGCCCTTGGTCTTTATTTTTTCAAAAGATTTATGTCGCATACAAAAAGCAAGTGAAGGGCCATGAAATGTTATACCGCCGCGTGGCGTCGATGCCGTTGGATTCCGGTAGGACTTTTTCGTTTGGGATTTTGCGGATAGAAACCTCAAACAAGGGCTTGAATTCCCGTTAACAGTACGAAAGATCCCCTACCCCGCGTGAAAAGACGCCAAGAGGGGCCAGAAGGACGAAGAAGGCAACTTGGCTACGCGAATTTCGCTAGATTCCGGCAGGATTGCACAGCCGACGACCACCATGGACCTGCGGATCACGAACTTTGGCACCGATGCCCGCGAGTACACGCTCGCGAGCGGCCGCGCCGGCGAGGCCAAGGGCCTCTTGAGCCTCCTTGGGCTGCTGAGCTCGACCACCTTATGCACGCTGCTCTACGTCTTCTTGATCCCGACGCTCTCGCCGTGGATCGGGCCAGCATATGCGACGTGGCTGCCACTGCCCACCGCAGCCGCGCGCCACGACCTCCTCACGTTCCTCGTCCCGTTCTATGTCGTCCTCGCGCTCTTCAAGTCGTCGTTTGGCGGCACCGTTGTCGAAGGTATGCATGCCATGTTGATGCGATCGATGGCTCATATTGTCGACCAGAGTCGGTCTTGGTCATCCCGGAAATCGGCGTCCAGCTGCGCAAGAAGCGCCGCAATGGCAGCGAAAAGTTCATGGTAAGGCTGTACACCAATTGCTATTGATGCATACGAGGCCATAGTTTATCGAGGCCAAGTGCATTCGCGCCGTCGTCATCAACGAAGCCATCACGTTCGCGGACGTCATCTACTACATGGCCTTTCTCGTGCAGAACGAGCCCAAGATGATCTTGGCGTTCGAGGTAGTAGGCAACATGCACATATAGGTGCTGATCGCAGCCTAGTCGTTTCGCCCGCGCGTGCATGCCCTGCAAAAGGTCTTCCTCGGCACGAAGGGCCTCCTCTTCCCCGACGACTCGAAGATGACCATGACATAGCTTGCAAGAATACACTTAGTCGAATGCCCGTATTAGTAAAAGGCAGTAGCCCACGCCTCCCTCCGACACAGTACTAGAGGCACCTTCCTCAGGTGCCAGGGCTCGGGCGTCAGCCAGTGTTTGTCTGCGTTTTGTCTCAGCTTGCCGACACCAACGTGGGAACGCCTCCGCGCCAAGAGCGGCGTGGCTGCCGCACCGCTTATCCTCGACCAGAGATGTCGATTAAGTGTTGTCGTGGCGAGGACGTGGGTCATGCGCTGGAGTCAACCCACTTCTGGTCAGCGTCACACGCCTCAAGCAGCGTCATCACCACATTCTTCTGGTTCGCGCTTCGTCGCTGCGAATACGACGAAGGCGGTCAGAGACCTGTCCTGCGACAGCTTGACTGGTAGAGATTGAGTCTATTGAGGAGTGACAAACACATACTGGTCGGGGCAGGCGATGTCCGACAGTAGTAAGCTGCTCGTTGTATGTTTGCTCAGCCGAGGAGTGTTCCGCGCAGTGTCAAGACGGCGGTGCCAAAGAGGAAGACGCGGTCGCCGGCCACGCGGGCGCTCACGTCACCGCCCCGCGCGCTCTTCTGTCGACCGCGGAAGCTCGCTTGTGGCAGCAGCGTCGCCCAGTACGGCGCGAGTGCGCAGTGGGCGCTGCCTGTGACGGGATCCTCGTGGACGCCGCTTCGAGGCCCGAAAAAGCGGCTATAAAAGTCATAGCCCGAGTCGACGGGCGCCGCACACGTGACTATCGTGGCACTAGTTGATAGATGAGCGCCACATAGCAAGGTCATACGATGCGGTAGTACCGGCACTCGAGGGCGAGAAGCAAGCTAAAGTTCGGGGTCATGTCGGCAAAGGCGGTTGGGATCACGTGGCAAATGATGTCGGTGCCGTACTGCTCGATCGCAACGACGTCATGGACGGCCACCCCGAGTGCCGCGACAAGCGTTGATGACGTCGCGACGTGCCACGCCTCGTCACGCGCCACAAAGTGCATTGTGGGAAAGTCCATCTCGATGCCAGCGATTCCGTCGGGCTGCGTCACGTAGCGTGTGGTGAGCACCCCGCTCCTATGCGATACATCAACGATACAAATGGTCATCGAATTGCGTACTTGGTGTGGAAGCGAATGGGTGCGTCCTTGGCGCAATGGCCATCGACGTACAGCGTGTAGGCGGCCGCGAGCGTCGCGTGGCCGCAAATAACGACCTCCTTGGCTACAAAGCGGCGTCCCATCGGAGGTCTACAGTATATCGTGTACCTGGTTTGAACCAGCGAAGGTGAAAGTCCATGAGGCTAGCGCCGTGCGGTGCCACAAAGGCGGTCTCGCTCAAGTTGCGCTCGAGCGCGACCTGCTGCATCCACGTGGCAGCACCAGGCGCGAAAAACTGTGTCGGAGTCAACACGACGACGGCCGCGGGGTTGCCTTCGAACGCTTTGCGTGCAAACGCGTCGACTTGAACGACGTCGATCGCTTGCGCCGCCACGCAGTCGAAGACAAGCTCGAGCCATGTGTCCTGGCCGTGGACGACCGGCGAGAGCCGCGTCACGGCAAAGCCACAGCGGACGTACCATTGCACGAGCGCAGGCTTGGCCAGCAGCACGATCGCGTCCACGTATGGCTATCGAGAGTGAGATATATGGCTGGAATAATGGAGCGCAGTACGTGGTGCTGCTGGACGTGTGCGAGGTAGGCGCGCAGGAGGGCTGCGCCGAGGCCGTCGCAACGGTGCGCCGCCTCCACGACCACCGAGTAAATGCACAGAAACCGGCCGCTCGGGTCGTGCGTGGAGAGACTCGCGGCCGTGAGTTCGCGCTCGGCGGCCAGCGTGCCATTGACAAAGCCAACGAGCGCTCCGTCCGACGCGTAGGCGCCAAAGAAGAAGCCACTTGCGTCCGCTAGTCGCGCCTGAATCTGGGCCAGACTCGCAGCTTCGTCCACGGGGTACGAAGCCGCTTCAATGGCATGGGCAGCCTCGGCGTCGCCAACTTCGACAAGCCGGAACATCTCAAAACTTGCAGGAATTCTTATTGGATCGTATGGCATGGAGATCCGTACGTATCCATATTATAGTTAACCTTTGTACCATATATTATGTGGACCAGACGCTAAACGTGAATGGTACACCCAGATACGCGTTTTCGCAAGTCTTCAAATTGTCCATATGCATCCATATGAAAAATGTTGCTCGTGGTCAACCGGACGTTCACCGGACGATGGTTTCCACCAATGGCATGCGAGGAGCATTTTTCTAGCAGAGCAACCAGCGGGCGATGATGGGCGTCGTCAAGGCCGTCGCATGGATCGCCGCCATCGTTGGCGTCGTCTACATGAGCCTCGTGGAGAGCATCGCGCAGTCGGAAGCGCACATCGCCTTCGTCAAGGCCGCCCTCGCGAAGCTCCGCGCCGAGCACGTGGTCGTCGACCTCGAACCGCTCGACACAACCCTCGTTGGCGAGCTCGACGCCAAGCACGCTGAGTGGCGCCGCGAGTGGGCATCGATCAAGCAACGCGATGTGAACGAGCGTCAAGAGGTCCTAGCGCACTGGAGCTCTACGAAGCAGACGATTCTGGACGACGTGGCGGCCAAGACGTCCGAAGCCGACGCGGTCCGCGCGAATGAGCGCCGGGCCATGCACATTCTGCGCGAGTGGAGCGACGTGCGCAAGGCGATTGCGTCGACAGCGTCGCAGATCGCGTCGATCCAGTCGAAAATCGAGTACCAGGAGCGGCAAACCGCGGCCAAGAAGCGGCTTGCGGCCACCCACGCAGACGCGATCGAGCAGCTCCGCTGGGCGCAGCAGGCCCGCGAGCGCATGTTTGAAAACGAAAAGCTCGCGGCCGAAGAGTCGATTACTCGCCGCAAGTTTTGGCTCCGCGCGCTCTTCCTCGCCGCGGGCCTTGTGACCTTTGGCGCCGTCATGATCGCGCTCGATAAAGACCGCAAGAAGGGCACGAACCTCCGTCTGTACGACTACAACCATGGCACGATCGACGACGACGAGTAGGAACAAGTGGACCCTATTCCCCCTTAATCTATCTTTTGCATACTGTTTTGTCGTCGACAAAGTTGCACACAATTGGAGTGACAACGAATGCACTGTGAAAAAGCGTCGACTCGAGCGCACAAGGTGCCTGACGACGATTTCGCATCATGTACGTGAGGTGGCAAGTCGCCTGACCGAGCTAGCGCAGCTTGGACGTCCTGGTATCCTTACCCTCGGTAGCGATCAGCTCGCGGCCGACGATTGCCCTCGTCTGCGCATGCCGACGGCGGACGGCAAGCTTTGCTGCCCGACGATGCACGCCTTTTGCTGCCGACTTTGCCATACATACTCCCAGTACCTGAATCTTCGTGTCCCAAATAACTCGGAACCTCCTACTGCAGCCAGCGAAGGGGCACGTGCCACGACGACTACAGTCTTCGCTCTGGCGACGGATGTCAGCAAACCACGACGAGATACGTCAATATAGCGCTAGCCAACACAAAGGGATGCAAGTCGCGATGTGGCCGACGACATCCACAAGGCAACGCTCCGGTTCTGATCAAGGAGCTCAACGTTCAGCTCCGCACCAACGACTCACTAGGCCAGCCGACGCGCAGCGGCCAGAAGAATACCCGCTTTCGTGCAGCTTGACAATGCGACGCTGCGGTCAGCCACACGAGCTAGCTGCAGTCATCGCCCGTTTGGTGTGGCGTCCTACGGTTTACCTCCTACCGACGGTTGGAAGGGTCCGCTCATCTTGGAACGATCATCGACCGGGATGAAATTCTTCCTAGTTAGCCAACACACCGAGCCACTGTATGCCCTTTTGCAGCGAAATCAATGCAGCTTCGGTCCATTGCCCCAGGCCAAACGACAAGCCCGCATCCTCGGCGTTCTCTGCAGTACCTAGTACATACCTCCATAACACACAAAACATAGACCTTCTCTGGATTCCAAAACATGCAGCGCCGTCACTCGGACAGTGACGGTAATCGCGTTCAACGTTTGGTGTTGAAATGACACAATTCCTGCTTCAACGTGTAGGAGCCCAGCACGATAACCCCTGATGCGCGACGGCACCGTGGAGACCTCCGCGTGCTGCTTCAGTCGACGAGAATGACAGCTTGTGTGATTTTGAGATTCGACTCGACGATCGGCCCGTCGTCAGTCTTGTCTTGAGGACTGCACAATCTTGCTGACGTGAAACTGTCCTTTCTATCGTGCTATGCTTCTGCACCAGTCCTTCTCTCGTTCTAGCGAGGGGCCATAGAAAACTCGTTGCATCCACCAGCCATTCGAGTAGCTCCATGTATCCTAGTAGACAGTGTTGGCAGCTGAAAGTCAAGTGCAATTTGCTCGATCGACCGTACCGTGCACGAAGTGTGATAGGTCTACTTGGTGCCTAGATACACAGACGTAATGGGTGCCGTATACGCTTTGCCCAGGTCCACGACGTCACTTTCGCCAGCTGTCTTGCGACGCCAAGCTGTCGAAGCGCCGGCTGCCAAATAAAATCGCTCGCACCAATTTTTAGGGCGGATTGAATAGAGGCAGCGTTCGGAATGGTTGCTGGCCCCAAACGTATTCGCCTCAATCTTGACGGTCGATGCTGCAGCCGTGCACGAACCTGCTTCAAGCTCAAATTTCGTACATATCTTCTGCGCAACCATAGGAAAAGGGCTCCGACACCGTAGGAAAAGGCGTGTCTGTGCAAACGAAAGCTTCGCGTTCGAGTGGTATAGGTCGTTTGACGAGCTACTGTGTCTCGCGTTCTGGGTGCAGCCGCATACCCACGATATTTACAACCATCGGCGCCAGATTCTGCCCGAGATTCCTTCCACAGCTAATTGAATCCACTGCGAATCTGAAGACCATATGTCTCGTCTTCGAAAACACATGCTACACGTTACCACGCCGGCGCAAGCACTCCAGCGAAATGTGTGGCCTTTGGCTCGTCCACGCTCCGTCGACTCATTCTCGCATTTCCCGCCTGAGCATCAAGCAGCACCATGGCCGCCTCCAAGCAAATTAGCCTCCAGTCGTCCGAAGTGCCATTGACGCCGTGCAGCCCGTCGCCCAACGACGCGCCCTTCATCAGCGTCACCGACGAGATCGCACTGGACGACGAGGACAAGACGTTTACCGATTTGCCGTGGCACATGCAGCTTGCGTGGGGCCTCTTCTACCTCGCCCTCGCCTTGAGCTCGCTCTACTTCTTCATGGTCGCGGTCAAGTGGATCGGCGAGTCGTTCTCGCTTCTCCTCGGCTGCGAGGCCAAGGACGCGTTTGCGTTCGCCGACAACCCGGTGGCCGGCCTCATGGTCGGTATCGTCTCGACCGCCATTCTGCACTCGTCCGGCACGGTCACGTCCATCATCGTTGCGCTTGTCGGCTCCAAGGGCCTCACGGTGCGCCAGGGCGTCCCGATCATCATGGGCGCCAACGTCGGCACGTGTGTGACCTGCATCATGGTCGCCTTTGCGCAGATGGGCAAGCGCGACCAGTTTGAACGCGCGATGGCGGCCGCGACTGTGCACGACATGTACAACATTTGGTCGGTTATCGTCCTCTTCCCGCTCGAGTTGCTCTTCCACCCGCTCGAACTCCTCGCGACGTCCATGTCGGGCGGTCAGGCCAACGCGTACTTTGAGTCGCCCGTCGACATCGTCGTCAACCCGCTCGCGTCCAAGCTCATCAAAGTCGACAAGACCATGATCGAAAAGGTCTCGCTCGGCAAGGTCACGTGCGAAAAGGCTGTGTTTCTCAAGGGCGGCGCGTTCCTCGACTCGTACAAGAGTGGGTCGCTCTCCCAAGGCGCGATCGGTGGCATCTGCCTCGCCGTCGGCTTTACGCTCCTCATCCTCTCGCTTCTCTCGCTCGTCTACATGCTCCAAAAGCTCTTCCGCGGCTCAGCGCAAAAGACAATCCGCAAGGCCCTCAACTTTAACGGCTACGTCAACATCCTCCTCGGCACGCTCATCACGTTCTGCGTGCACTCGTCGACGGTCGTCACGTCGACCTTGACGCCGATGGCCGGCCTCGGCCTTGTCACGCTCGAGCAGGTGTACCCGATCGTGATTGGCGCCAACCTCGGCACGACCGTGACGGCGCTGCTTGCGTCGTGGGTGACTGGGTCGCCGGACGCTGTCGCGATCGCGCTGGTGCACTTTTGGTTCAACATTCTCGGCATCTTCCTCTTCTACCCGATCCCGATCACGCGCAAGCCGATCCTTGACTGGGCGCGCCGCCTCGCCTTCTACAGCGCCCGCTGGCCGGTCGTCGCCGCGCTGTTCCTCGTGCTGCTGTTTCTGATCGTCCCGGGCCTTGCGCTGGGCTTGACGTACCTCTACAAGGCCGGCACCGTTGGTCTCGTGCTCGCGATCTTTATCAGCGTCGGTGCGCTCGCGACGATTGGTGGCTTTTACTTTTGGTACCTCAAGAAGGGCGGCCGGGACACGTGGCACGCCTTCTTGGAGCGCAAGGCCGAGGCGCACGAAGCCAAGATGGCCGAAGCCGACAAGGTTGTTGTGTAATGAGATGCTTTTGTGTAAACTAAACTGGTGTATATTTCAAACGATTTTTGTTCCAATATTTTGTGCTACGACATCGAGGAGGCTATGTTGGACAGCTTTTGTCTTGGTGACTGGGAGTCTCAGGTACAAACTGCAAAATGGGTTTAGGACTGAACCAAGTTATATCGAAATGTGCTCGTGAGCGCCGACGGCATCCTCGCCCTGGCATCGTCGCTCCGACATTGATAGAAAGTTGTCCGTCCTTTGCATACAAACCGCAAGATAAAACGTGGCGCACTACGGTTGCCTCTCGAATGCCATGACGATGGGTGCGTCAACCTCCCCTTTTGCTCTTCTTTGCTTGTCGTCACCACATTTGTTATCCATTTACCGTAGAATAAGGCATGATTCCAGCGCACATTACGAGCTTACGACAACGCGTGCGTCGTTGTGGAGTTGGCAGATATAGGGCTCTGGAAGTAGACAGCGTATGGCGTAGATGGCGACGTCAGCGGCTCTCATCTTGACCACGGGCAGGCAGTTGTTGTTCTCGACAAAGTCTTTGCACCAAAGTGGCAGCTTGACCGAGACGTTGGTGCACGTTGCTACCGCTGTCAGCAGCGCTTGCACGCCTCGGAGACCCATCAAGTTGCCCGAGAGATCGAGGTCGAAAGCGACACGCGCATGCGTCTCGAGCAGCGCTGCAGCCAACACAGTTGCGCCGTTGGTGTCGATGCCACAGTTGGCGAATCGCACGCGGCACGCACCGGCGTCGATGCAGCGACGCAGCGCATTGGCCGCGCAACCGGCGTGGACACTAAAGTACTCAACGTCATGCCACGTGATCGACTCGAGATGACGTGAGCGCGTGATCCAGGTGAGCGTCGCTTCGAGGCTTGACTCGGACAACACAACGCAGTTGAACGCGAGCGTGCGGAGTGTCGTCGATGATGATACCCTCGGTTGGGTCGCAACGACGCCACGGAGGTCCATGTACTCAAAGCACAAGTGCTCGAGCACTAACGATTGCGCGACCAAGGCGAAAATATGCTGGCCGAGACCAACGTTGCGTATGCTTCGGAGCACCAGTGTCTTTAACGCTGGCAATGGACGCAGCCCGGTCAAGATGAAGCGCCCGCAGACCGTTTGCTCTTCGATGTAGGTAGCAAGGCTTATGAACAGTGCATGCGACTGGTCCATGCGCAGGCTCGCGAGCGTGGGCGACGACACCAGCGCGCACACAAGACCCGCGTCCGTCGGTGGGTTCAAGTTACGGAGAACCAAGGAGCACGCGTGGCCAGACGCCAGCCAGCGCTGCGCCGCGGCCATTGTGGAAGCTGCGGGAACGTACCGAAATCGAATGACTGCGAGCTCGAGCTCGGAGACGCAGTGCGCCGGCGACGTCACGGCCTCCAGAAAACCGGGCTCGTCGATTGTGATACCAACGCGTTTGAGGCGCGTGCAGCGGGCCAGCGCGCGGCAACACTCATCGCGATGCTTGGGAAGGCAAGTGGTGGCGAGGTCGACGGTCGTCACTTTGGCGGCCCACTTGGCCACAAACCCGCAGAATGGCACGTTGAAGTTGGGGTCGCGCGGCCAGCGTTCGCTAAAGCACACGCCTGTGATGCGCACCGCGTTGACGATGTTGATGATGGCGCCAATACTATCGATCGTGTCGTCGCTGAGATCGTTCAGGCACAGTACCGGCCAGTGCGTGGCACCAGACGGCGCTGACAAGAGCTGGAGGACCGCCGCCAGGCCTGGCGAGCGCATCGCGGCTGGCAGCGCCTCTAGGAAGGAGACGACATCGTGCGGCGTCGGCGTGTACTGGACGATCGCCACGGGCACGCCAGCGAGATCGAGCACAGAGGCTTGGACGTGACGAGGCCGTTGGTGGGCCATCGCGAGCTTCTTTACAAGCGGTGACGTATGCGGACGCTTTCAGAATCCGGATGAAAACCAGCACTCCGAGCTCCGAGCCTTCCGATTGGCACTGCTACGAGGAGAATGAATGATGCTGCATTATCCCAGGGGTCGACGCAGCTTTGTCATTGGGAATGCACTGGCGTTTTACCAAACGGTATTGCCAAGTGCGATAGTCCAACATCACCTACGTGTGTATAATTTACACACGTCTACAAACAACTTAACTATAACGTTAGTAAAATGACACGGAACTCCTGGGCATCACATCGTCAATGGTTCATAAACAGTACATTAATCAAAGACAAATCGGTACTTGGGGCAGTAGTAGAGAAAGACCACGAGGCGCTGGTGCTTGGCGGCCTTGGCGTCCCAGTAGGCGTACGTATCCCGCTCTCGCTCGCTGCACATGTCCATATCCACGTACTCAAGCGTCACATTCATCGCAGCCAGCGTCTTGGTCTTCTTCGCCTGGCCCGAGATTGGCCATGCTTGTTTCTCCAAGACGATCCAGCGCAAGGCCGGCGACGCCGCCTGGAGCGATCTCACGAGCTCGATGAGGTCGTCGTAGCAGCGCGACAGCAGTTGCAGTTTGATCGCGTGCAGCTGCGGGCAGCCCGAGAGCACCGTGGCCAGCCACTTCATTGCCTCCATCGTCTCTGCGACCGCGCTCAAGTACTGCAGCTTTGCGCACTGCGTGAGCGCCGTCGCAAGGGAAGCGCCAATGCGGGGTTTGACGCTAAACTCGTGCAGATCGAGCTGCCGCAGCGACACGAGCCGTGGCACGAGCGCGACGAGCCGGTTCAGCAGCTTTTCATCCAACGCACAGACCTCGATGCGCAGGGTCGTGAGCCGGCTCAAGACCTCGTGCGTCTCGGCCAACTGCGTCACAAAGCGGCCTTCGAGCTGCGTGAGGCGTGGCGCTTCTGATAGCATCGACGAGAGACTCGTCATGACGGCGTCCGAGCAGTTGTGAAAGAAGAGCTCGCGTGGGGTCGACACTACACGCACTCTCTTGAGGTGGAGGAAGGAAGCCGAGCACATACCGTCGAGACGAAAGTGCTGCAGTTGGTGGGGCAGCTGCTCTTGCTGCAAAAAGCGTGTGCTGATATCAATTGTCTTTTCGATGCAGAGGTCGCGCAGCGTGGTGCAGGTAGCGATCGCCTCGCACAACGTCGCTCTGTCCTCGGCGCGCAAGTTGACAAACTCGACGTTGGCAAGTCCAAGGCGCGTGCAGCATCCGTTTCTTAGCATACTTGCAATGGCCAGCGCGGCGGACGCCGGAAACTTGCCGCGGAGCACGAGCGTGCGCAGCTGCGCGAGCGGGAGGTTGGCAAAGACATCGGCGACCATCGACATGGTGATGCCGGCCCAGTGATGCGAGTGCTCGAAGACGAGGCTGTGCAGGCGTGGGCACGCGCAGAGCATGCTCTGAAGCGCCTGAATGTGGCTCAGGTTGGTGACGACCGTGACGTGGTTGACGACGGGCTGGAGCCGACGGAGGAGCTCTCGTGGCGTCCGTGCGTCGGGGCCGTCTCTGTCCACGTCCATCACGGCTACGATCGCGCCAAGCGCTTGTGCCTCGAGCAGGTGCTGCAGCGTCGCGTCGTCTGGGAGCGAGAGGACATAGACCTTGGGCCACTGGATGCGGACGACGTCGGGGAGCGCGGCCAGCGCCGCAATGGCGGCCAAGTGGGGCGTCACAGCCGGAGGCGGCAGCGAAGCGATGAACTCGGTCAAGGACCAGATGTTCTGGACGTAGCGAGCCATGAGCTCGACGAGCTCGGGCACGGCGAGCACGGCCATCGGGTTCGGGCGTCGGCGGGTTGTCATGGTGGCTTCTGGGATTGCACTTGGGCAGCGCCTTGCGTTCAAACGCACAGCCATTGGTGGAATATAGATGAAATGAAGGGATTGGATTGGTCCATATCATCTTTTTCGTGCACTCCTAACCGACACTGGAACTGACAGCCATGAGGCAAGAGTTAAGACCTTGCGCAAGACAAAGCTCGCTAGCTACAATGACGATTTGGACACGACTTGTATTTGTTGTCGATGTTAGTTGTGGCTCCGCGCATAGAGCGTCGTATCGAAAATGCCATTTTATTCAAATCAATTCGTTGAAAAGGCATCCTTGGGCACCCAGTGCCCAATGCATTTCATTTGTTGGCTCATGATGCACCGCTTTGTACTTGGTGGCGTGGCGCCATGGGGTCGGAAGCTCAAGCTGGACAATGCGACACGACTCGTCCACTGCCAGTCAAGTCGAGTCCCGCGCACGCGTTTGCATAATCTTTATGAAAGCAAGTCTCGTTTTCGGCGTCCGATCCCTTTGAAATACCTAAACACGCAAGGTCGCTTGTCTGCAGTAGTCTTGCGTACACCCCACGGACGTCGTAGTAACATCTCCCAACGTTCTTCGATACACAGCTCGCAAGTCGACGCTTTGTCTAGCATTAACCTCTCTCGAGGTCCGTTGTCGTCCACCATGCGACCAATACCACAGCACTTGCGAGTCGCTAGTATCGCCACTCGCAAGTGGATAGTATGATGCAGCGTTTACCGTCGTCGTCGGCTCCTACCGACGTTGACAAACTAGCAGCTGGGCTAGTGAAGCACTCGGCGGAGAGGAATCACCAGAACCGCACACCCGCCAGGAAGAAGAACCATCCTCGTGAGTGCAACCCGCCACGAGGGCTGTTGAAACCCACTCGGATCCACCGGCGGTGGGATCCTACGGCCCAAACCGACCAAGTGTCGAGCTCTTGGAGTTGGCGCACAAACGAATGGAGTTGCGTTTGTCACAGACGGCAGCGACGCTGCGACTGCGTAGCGTGCTGCTGCTCATTTCGATCCAGACGCCGTGTACTATACGAGCTCGGTGGGTGGCACCCGAACGGTAGATGGACCGAGACGTTCATGCTCGTTGCATCGAGCAGCGCTTGGACGTCTGCAATATGAAGCCAATCAGCCGAAAGATCGAGCTCCAAAGCATGCGCCGCACGCAGCATCGTGCTTGACATCGACCAACCGTACGCTGCTTGCACTTGCGTCACTGCAGCGCATCACAGTCACCCGATTACCCGAACAACACGAAGCAACATTAACGTCTTGTACAGTAATCGCAAAACAAAGACTCTAGCGCTGGAGTGCACTCACCGCACCGTGAATGTGTTGGCCAAAGGACGAGCAGCGCCGCCACGCGGCCCCTTCAAGCGAGTCGAGCTTGCGGCCGAGTCCAATGTCGCACCGAAGCTTGCGGTAGACAAGGCGGCGTAGTTGAAGCGCAGTTGGCGAAGCGTCGACTGCAGAACGGTGGGCCGCGCCGCGTCGCGCCAAAGTTTACGTGGCAGGCTGCGCGTCGTTGGTGGCAACTGCCGAATCGTGCATCGGATTAGGATATATCCTGTTTAGGACAGGTTAGCTCGGATTTGGCCTGATTGTATTCGCGCCATGCCATTCGAAAATTCAAGTCGGCGGCAGGGATGAGCGAGGCGAGCAGCGACGCCGATGGCCTCGCGCTGCAAATGTCGTCCGACAGCATCGACCGCTTCCTCCGCGAGAATGGCATGGACCTCAGCCTCCGCACGCCCAGCGGAAGCGGCGGCGACGACGACGACCTGAGCCTCTTGCGCGCCGGCGGCCACCCGCACGACGAGCCGCTCTCGCTCGACGACTTCGCGCCGCCACGCTCTGGCAGCTCGACGACGTCGCCGCCAGCGCGTACGACAAGCGCTATGCACGAGCATAGCAGCGAAAGCAGCCTGCGCTTTGGCAGCCTCATCCGCGCGTCGCAAGGCTCCATGTTCGAGTCCAAGACCCAGGACGAGCCGCCGACGCTGCGCGGCCCGCCGTACTCGCAGTTGCCACGCCACCGCGCGTCCGAGTCTACCTCACGTCTCTCGATTCCACAGAGCACAGAGCCGCTTCGCCGGCAGTCGTCGACGTCGTCGCGCTCGACCGTCCCGCGTGACGTGCCCGTGCGTCGCGTTCTTAGCCTCGCGTCGACGTCCTCGAACGCCTCCCACGAGCGCCGGACCGAGAGCGGTCTCCGTGCCGTCTCGTGGTCGGGCCTTCCAGCCTCGTCGTCGTCATCGTCCGGGTCGGAGCGCATGCACCGCGACGAGCTCGACGATCCTGTCTCAGAGGCTGGTAGCGTCTTTGTTGCGACACCGCCGCCAGGTCTGCCGCGCACTTCGCCGCCGCCACTGCGGACGGTCCCGACACCGTTGCAGACATCACCACGGCGCTTGGTGACGCCGCCGACACGCAGCCCGTCACCGCAACGCGCGTCATCGCCCGACGACGAATGGTCGACGCTGACGACGCTGCTCTTGCAGCACGGTCTACCGCGTGTGGAGTTTGTACCAGCTGACGCGGTTGGCTGCGCCGTTGTGCCGGAGAAGGCTTCGCTCATTAGCGTCGTGCACGACCTCGTCTCGCAGCTCGAACGCCGGGGCCAGGTACGCATCTATCTTCACAGTCATCGTATTGGTATATATCTAGAGAAAAATGGTATTTAGATCATCCAAGATCTCGTGCTTGACGCTACGCGCAACTCGAAAGAGCAGTCCAAGACCGAGTCGCACGTCCATTTGCACGAGAAGAAGATCGCGGACCTAACGTCGTCGCTCGCAGTTGCCCACGCCGACATCAAGCAGCTGCAGGTACTTGTATTCCTCACTTTGACCTTTCTTGATACGAATGACGTGGCGTAGCGAGAGCGCGATACGCTCAAAACAAAGACGGACCAGGACATGCGCGCGTGGAGAGTGCAGAGAGCCAAACTCGAACAGCAAGTCAAGGTCAGCGAACACCGCGTCAAGGCAAAAGAACTCCTCATCGACCGCATGCAACAGAAAATCCAAAGCCAGGTCTTATCCAACCGATCCATGTATCCAATATACACGTATCCAATCTAGATGGACAAGGACGAACTCGCAAAGTCCCGAGACAAAACGCTGTTTCAAAAATTCACGCAGCGCGAACCGCGCAAGACGAGCGCGTCGGACCATCAGACAATCGAGCTCATCCGCATGTACGAGACGCAGCGGGCGTCCATGGCCGACGAAATCACGGCGCTTCAAGCCCAAGTGCGCGATCTCTGCGCCGACGTCCGCGCCAAAGACAACCGAACGCCCGTGGTCGGCGCCGGCGCGCCCGAGAACGAGCTCCTCGAGCGATTCGAAGTCGCGCGGCGGGAGCAAGAACGCGCGGCGGCCCTGCTGCGGCAGCGCGAGAGCCGCATCCAAGACCAGATCGGCACGATCGAAGCCGAGCTCCGGCACACAAAGGAATCGCTCCAGGAACTCCAAGACGAGAACGCCAACTTGCACCTCGAAGTCGAGTCGCGACCGACGATTCCCGCGTTCAAGGCTGCGCAACGGCGCATCCACCAGCTCGAACGACAGCTCGCCGACCACAAGCTCGCAATGGACGAAGCTACAGACCTCGACGAGCTGCGCAAGCACACGGGCACGGCCGCGCTCATCCAGCGCGACCGCCTGAACGCCAAGCTTGCCCTGAACCGGCTCAACGCGCTGCCCCGAGAGACTGCGGTCGAGGTAGGTCGACGATTTCGAGTGAATTTGGACGATTGAACTCGATGTAGATTGTCAAGGAAGTGTGCCGCGAACTCGACCTGTCGGACGTGACGCTGATTGTGCCCAGCTTGCATAAGCTGTGTGCTGTCGTCCAGGCCGTGCCTCGCATGGAGCGCTTCGTCCGGGACGTGACAGCGGTCGTCGGTGGCGCGGCCCTCGAGGCGGTCGTGCCGTCACTGCAAAAGATGCAAGCCGAGCTCCAAGAGCTCGCGGGGCTGCGGGTACTATATCATTTTGTCTCGTCGATGGCTCGTACGATGAATGTACTAGAGCTTTCGTCAAGCCATTCTGCAGTCGCTCCAGAGGCGGGCGGGGGCCGTCACGACGCCCGAGACGCCCGAGACAACCGAGACAACCGAGACAACCGATTCCAACGTCACCTCGGTCGTGCAGCGGCGCGTGCTGGCCACGATCGTCGAGCTCGTGGACTTTGAGACACATTTCCTGCAAGACAAGGAGATGTACACGCACGCCCTCCACAACGTCGAGGTATTGTTTGACATAATTGTTTCTACTAGAGAAAAAAGACTATAAAAATTATGTAGAACCGTCCGGACGTGCTGATCAACAAGATGGTGCAGCACTTTCGCCATCTCTTTGGTGTCAAGACCATGGAAGGCGTCTTTCCCAAGATCAACGTACACCGCTCTCAACTCTAGTTGTCCAAATGTACTAACTAAACGGGGTGTAGGAGGTGTTTTTGTTTGTCAACAAGATGAACAGCGCGCTCGATGAGCTCAAGACGACACTGCAACTGCCGCTGAGTACGTCTGTGACAGCGACGCTCGCTGCGCTCCACGACAAGGTCGGCGCGTCGACACCGACAGCCAGCGACCGCCCGCCCAAGCTGGCGCCGAATTATGTGGTCGACCGCCGCAGTGAGAACGATGTCGTCGGCCTCCAGCAAGTGCGGCTGTACTGCCACATCATCAAGCAGCTCAAGGACGAACTGGGCGCAACGACCGACGACGAGATTGTCCCTCGGACCAAACGGTACAATGTGACATTGATAAATTGAAAATTGCTTAATCTCTAGCTTAGGCTGATGGAGCTCCTCTCTCTCTCGTTGCACAACTCCCAGCCGTGAGATCCCACTGGCAACAATTCTCAAGTGCCTTGTTGATCGATTCGCGTATTTTGCAGTGGCCATCGAAGGCGGTAGCGAAGAACAAGGCTGTGTGGCCGCCGACAACACGACCACATTTGCTGATGCCCTTGTGATTACGTCGCATGCAGTAGACCTTCCAGACTTCGGGAAGGGACACCGTTGCATCCTGTGCGCTCATAATGCAGCCAGCAGATGCAGTCGCGCCAACGACGGTTCCGTGACACCCCGTCACGTCACCATCCATTCGGCTGGCCGGCAACATGCCATCGCCGGTTCTCGCTCGCATGCGGGTAGGGTTCGGCAAATCGGTCCCTGCAGAGCACAGTTGGATCAT